ACTCAACATGACTACACAACATGACTACACAACATGACTACACAACATGTCAGGAGAACATTTTCTGGAGTTCATGTCAGAAAACAGCTTTTCTCGTGGCCTCAGCTGTGATTGGTTACTGACCTGCCAGGTTTAGTGGGATTTGTGACCTCAGGGGGGGGTGGGTTGGTGAGGGTAGGGGGGCTGGGTGGCGCAGCCTCGGGGGCGTCCGACATGGTGGACGATGTTGACGTAACAATGCACCGTGGGACAGCAGTGTCTGACCTGACGATGAAAAAACAATTCCCCCAGTGGTCTGAGGGAGGGAGAGGGTGTGTGTGTGTGTGTGTGTGTGGGGGGGTGTGGGTGTGTGTGTGTGTGTGTGGGCACACAGGTGTGTGTTCAGTTCAGGTTTGGTTGGGGACGTTCCTTAAGCTTGATGTTTCCCTCGAGGAGACAAACTCCCATCTCACACCTAAAAGACAGAGACACAGAATTTTGAAACTGTTAAAACTTCACGTTACCATGATGAAACTTAGCTGTGATATATATATAAAGATATATTTAATATGTCAGAACTCACAGGGACAACAACGCTCAAATTAATAAATTAAAATTAATAATCTGATAGTTGTTTTTCTTCATGACTGTAAACATAAACAAGCGGTTTCCACGGTTACTGTTTTGAAGACCAAACCAATCGATTAACTACCTAATCTATCAATTATTACAATTATCTTGAAAATTATGTTGCAATCATTTGATATGGATTATGTGTTATTATTTTAATGCCAAATTTATGAGCCCAATAATTGATAAGTATCTAAAAGTAAAATACAAATACAATTATCTAAAACATAAAACTTGAAGTATGAAAACAAAGCGTAATTTTCTAGGAGTTGATTTAAAACTGTACGGTAGGTTTCATGTTTGCTCACATGTGGAGATGGTTTTAGGTCAGAAATCTCAAAAATCACACTCAGTTATATTGTGAATTTCATCATGTTTGTTTTCACATGTTAATGATAAATAACATTGAATATAGTAGAGAGAAGCTGAGTGATGTGATCTAAATATTTACATGTAGAGCAGGAAGTGGATCCGCCCACATGTGAACACCTGAGACTTCAGGATAGGTTGATTAATTTTAGGCGTCGTATACATGAACCTGTTTAAATGAGACTATAATAAAAAAGTGAAACATTCACTTTTGCAGTAGAAAGTCAAGGCCTCTGTCTTCTACCTCATCATCTCCTGATGACATCATGTCTCGTCCCATGAGGTGAAAACATGTTGATAACGTGCAGTGACTGTTCTAACAACTTATGGAGAGTTAAGAAATAATAAGCCCATGTTTCCTATTTAGAAATATTTTAGATCAATATCAAGTTTTATGTGTTTATTTCTTTATTATTTAACACGATTCACGTACTTTAATCATTGATTATATTTTAGTTTCTTACAAAACCTTTGAGCTTAGGTTGTACAGACTTTAGAGTCAAGTCCTGTTTGCTTTTCAACACTGTGTCCTTCACAAAGTCAACTATATCGTCTGAGATGTTCGGACTCAACTCATCGCGAACAACGTCCTCCTCTCTCTCTCTTTGCAGATATCTCTGACTCCAGAACTGCAGGAGAACTATTATTATTATAATTAACAACAAAACTTCAGTAATTAATTATTATATGAATTGTGATTGTTATCAATAATAATCAATAACTTCTTTACAATGTTATTGTTTTCATTAGAACCACTCAGAGCTGATACCTGATGGTGCTCCAGTGTTCCGGGTGTCCCTCTCCCCCTCCTCACTATCTCTCTCTTTTCTCCCCTCTTCCCCCCCTCAGATGTCTCCTCACTGACTCTGGTTCTAGAGGTTTCTCTCTGTTAATGAGGGAGTTTCTCCTCCACAGACTCAAAGTGCTGCTCATGGTTCACCTGTTGGTTTCTCTATAAGAAGAAGATCTGAAGCTCTTCACCTTCTCTGTGAAGAGTCTTGAGATCATGGATGTTAGGATTTGGTGCTATACAAATACAGATGAATGGAAACATTATCACTATCGTCTAAAACGCTCAACCCTTCTCTTCACTCCAGAACCTGATGTTTTCCCAAACGTCAGCAGAACAAGTTTCACCAACTTTAAACCAGTTCAACAAAAACTGATTTTCTTCATTATCTGATCTGTCTGTCTCTCTTTCATTATTGATCATTTTCATTTTCTTGATTAATTGAAAATTATGGGAAGTGACACCAAGAATATTCACATCTTTTCTTAAACAAAATTCAAAATTTATAATCAAAACTGTTGCAGATTTTCTCTCAGTTGATGAGATGACGAATCATATGAGCTGATATATTGAAATAACAGAACATGGCTCAGATACATGTGATAAATATGAAGATTTTCATGATCAATTTCACATCAAATGTTGAAACTAACATGTGTTCAAACATTTGGATTCTCTCACACACAGAGTCACTGTCAATCATCGTCAAACGTCTGAGTGTTCAGTCTGGTGTGATCAGGTCTGAACAGTCACTCAACATTCAGAGGACACAGGATGTTTGAGACAGAAACCGATGTTAATATTCAAGGTTCAAAAGAACACAAAGACTGACGGCGACAGTGAAGCATCACAAACTTCAAATAACTGCTGACGGTTTCCATGACCACTTTAATATGATGAAGAATTTAGGTGAAACTATAAACTAAATAATTTTCATGTCAAATAGGACGTGTTTCTGCAGGATGAAGTTTGAACCGTTCAAATCAATGTTCTGAGGAATTCTATAAAAACAACAGAGAACAGCGAAAACTAAAGATTTTCAGTTTCCTGTGAGAATCTGAGACTTTTCAGAAAACTGATCAGTTTCATCGACTCAACATCTGATCCAGACACGATGGAGCTCCAGTCAGAAGATAGAATTTTTTCAATGTTTTTTTAATGTCAATAATTTAATCTGCCTTTAAAACCTTTACGTGCAGAAAAGACTTTGTAAAATCATAAGTATGGACTTTTAATTTCAAGGTGTGAGCAGGTATGACGTCAGCAACAGGTTCCCTCGGATGTCAACAAGAAAATCAGAAAACATCTAGTTTTATTCCAGTAAATTGTCAATTCATTGATTAAAACATTGAACTCAAACTACGAAGTCGAGTTTGTCCAAAGGTTTTATCACCCGAACGATCAGCTTCACTTTCTGAGATTCTGTCATTTCAAAACAAACTGAATATCAGACCACACAGAAGAAAGTATCCAGAGGATCACTTATTTAAGATGGAACTGATCATTACCTTTATCAATTCATCATTATTCAAATAGACCCAAAACCTCCAAACCAGTTCAGTGACAGAAAGTAGAGAAGTAAAAATCCACCTGTAGACTGATCAATACTGAAAATCATAGATTATTACAGAGCTGATCAGTGAAACACTGAGGTTAGTTAACACGTGATAATTACATATATTAGATGACAGATCTGAGTGATCGATCAACAGTTTCAGTTTTAACCTGTAAACTTGTCACAAACCACCTGTTCGATCACTTCATCGATTATGGATCAGAAAACAATCATCAGTCCGTGAATCGATCAACAGTCTGTGATTCTGAGCTTCAAACAATCTGACGATCAATCCGAGGATTTCTCCACTTTAGAGTCAGATTTACTCTGAACACATGTTTCTGATCCGCTAACATCAGGGCCGAACACTGAGTCCAGCACCGGGACCAGAACTACCCGGAGCACTCACCCTCCGAACCCACAATAAACACCCGCCGCCCGGATAACGAGCCACAAACCTCCGGTCCCGGCGGCTGCTCACAGTCTGTTGCGGCTAACGCGGAGCTAACAGCTAACACTCACCGCTGCGACCGACAAACTGCACACATCCAGTCCCCGGCAGCACGACCATCCGCCCGCAGAGCCAGCGGGCCCGGGTTTACTCGGTGGTTTCCCCGCAGAGATCCGCTCCAGCTGCGGCCACGGGCCCGCTGCTCCGTGGGCTAACGAAGAAGCTCATTTATCTCGCTTTAAAAAGATGGCGGGCAAGCCGATGCAAAATACGAGCTAGGTCGCTAACTAACGGAGCTAGGCTACTGAGCGAGCGCGTTAAAAGAGCATTAATACGGGTTCCAGCTGCCGCGAAGGCTCCGGGGCAGCGCTGGAGGACACACCGGGACTTTTGCGCGGTTATGAAACGCACAGTGACCGGATCGGGAGGTTTAAAATTCCGATCTTTGCAGATGTTGCCGCGGTGTTTGGCTAGCTAATGAGCTGTTAGCCTGTTAGCTGAGCTTTGTCTGAAGGCGCCGAGCGGCTCCGACCCTCCAGCACCTCCTGCACCCACCGGGACTCCGCTCCGGCCCGTTATCCCGCCTGCTCACCCCCGGCCCCGGTCAGAGAGCGGCTTTACTTTGAGTTCGGCTCCTCCGGTGCGTCCCGCGGCGGCTGCGGCGGCTTCTCTCTCCGCTCGGTTTTAGCCAAGTAGCATAATAGATGAGTTATCAGCTGTGTGCCCAGTGCGCAGGCGCACAGCTCAGCGGCATCATGCCTGTTGTTGTGCTCCGATTGGCTGCTCGGGCCGCCGGGGCCCTGTGATTGGCTGTGAGCAGATTTCGAGGCTGTGATTTGTTGCTGGGGGATAAAAAATAGCGCAGTTAGTAGTGGGTGAGCTAGTTGAAGTGTAGTGATTGGTTGAAAGGATGACTGGGCTGCTGTGATTGGCTAGCGAGATTTACGAGGTTCAGAATGGCGCCGAGGTTCGAACTACGTTTCCCAACATGCAGAGCGGCAGCAGCGAGCCCGGGGCCCTCTCTTCCTGGTAAAACTATAAATATAGTTTATATATATGTGTACACATACACATATACACATATATATGTGTATATTTGTACACATATATATGTGTGTATATATATATATATATACAATATATACACACATATGTGGACTTGAGGCCCACAACCGAGAAAAGGAGTCTGATTATCAAGGAACTTTATTATCATAGAGTGAATATAATTCATCATCATCATCATCATCATCATCATCTTCATCATCGTCTTCATCATCAGTCCTGTTGCTATGGGCCTGTGCTGGACTGCAGGAGGCTGTTAACATGCAGCAGAGCCGAGCAGACAGACAGGTAGGTCAGACGGACAGACATACAGGGTAGAGAGGTAGACAGGTAGTGAGGTAGGGGAGGAGACAGACAGACAGGTGGGGGAACAGGTAGCTATTGTATTATTTACATACAGGTAGGCAGATGCAATAGAAAGCTTATTGGCTGTCTTCCAGAGGCCCCGCCCCCATCTCTTCTGTGTCGACCAATCCTCTGTGAGAAGGGGCGGGCTCTGCGGGCTGGGGGGAGGGGTGTGAGGAGGAGGAGGAGGAACAGGAGGACAGGGAGAGGGGGAGGTGTGAAGGTGGTTCAGTCTGTACCCTCCCTCCCCCGTCGGCCTCGCCTCCTCTCAGCCCTTCCTCCACCTGCCCACTGCCTGCCCCACCACCACGCGACCCAGCGAACTGCAGGTGAGGCAAGATGGCAGCTGGCACCTCCTTCTCCCTCTCTCTCTCCCCCGCTGCCTCCCTCTCACGTCTCTCAGCATACAGCGGAGCCTCCAGGCAGAGGTAGGAAGCGCTGAGCTGTCGCAGGTCCAGCTCAAAGGGGCTGCCACTGGGCTGCACCGCGGCCTCCGCACCCTGGCCTCCTCCTGCTCCTCCCCCACGCTTAGCTTTGCGGGGGTGGGAGGAGCCAGAGGCTGGGAGGCCATCAGGGAGGAGCGACTGGATCTTTGGGAGCCAACGTTTCCGCACTCTGCGAGCGTTGGTGCACATGTCGGCCGCAATGACGTTCATCTCACTCTCCTTAAAGTTAGGAGCAAAGTTCTGACAGTAGACTGAGGAAGAGGAGGAGGAAGAAGAGGAGGAGGAGGAGCAAGAAGAGGAGGAGGAGAAGGAAGAAGAAGGGGAGCAAAAGAATGAGGAAGGATGAAAGAAACATACCAGTTTTTTCAAAAAGTGTGTGTGTGTGTGTGTGTGCTTACGTTTCACAGTGTTTAACACTCGGTTGTCCAGGGGCTTTCTGCTCGGATCATTGGTGGAGGAGCGGATCCCTGTCCCACAGCTATTGGCCAAGGTGTTTCTATGGAAACCATAATAGCCTGTTAGTCAGACCCTGATCATTGAACACTGAGGATGAAGTCTGGTGATGTCACATATTGTCAACAAACGGAAAACATTGTTTACTGAGGTGATCGAAGACTGAGGGATGACGTCTTTATGCTTAGCTAGGCTAACTTCACGCTGGGTCTCACCTGTCGAAGAACGTAGCCAGCAGTCTCCTGAGCAGCACCTTGTGTTTGACTCCAGCACACAGGTGACAGTTCATCAGCTGACCTCGAGTCATGAACACACCTGAACCTGAACACACACACCCCAACGTTTCATCCCTTCACGTGTGTTTCATAACCTGTTACTATGAAGATACTTTACAGGACGTCTTACCTGCTACCAGCTCCACCTTTTCCCCCGGGTCGCCCTCAGTGTACAGTGACGGATGGCAGCGATACCCAATCTGACTGATCAGACTGGCAGGTAGAGCCATGTTGTCTCGACCAACCAGCACGCAGGGTCGACGCTCATTAGCTAATGGGAGAGGCAGCATCTCCAGCTTCTCTTGGACTGGACCAATGAGAAAGAGGGAGACAAGAGGGGAGGGGTCAGAAAAACCAGGACGCATATTGACAAAGCTGTCAATCAAGTGTCTTAACCTGCAGTTCACCTGTTGTCCACTAGATGACTGTGTGGACACTAAGAAAAACTTTATAGGGTCACTATGACAACCCCTGAACTCTGCAGACACAAAGTCCAACTCACAACTCATCAAGTTTAGTAACGACAACTATTAACAAATAATCCTAAAGTGAGATTTTATATCACATGCATGCTCACACACACATAAAAGTGAAGCCAAGGTGTCTCCCCCTGGTGTCTGGCTGCTGTATAGATCATAAACCTCCTCCATGTTAGCAGATGGGACATGGACCAAACTATAAAATCAAAGTGTTTCTGATCAGTTTGGTTTAATTAGTTATTTGAAACAGTTCATATTATGGCGGCTGCGGAAATACTTCAGGTCAATTCAGTCAGTTAAGAAAGGTTCCTCAGTAAAACAATTTTTATTTTCACTTTTTTTTAAATAGAAACATAGAAAAAAACAAAAAGACAAAGAAAATAAACCCACCCAACTACACAATAGGTATACAGCACCTGACACTGTTACATGAAGTAATTGAAGTAATAAAAAGAAAGACGGAGGCTATATGAGGATGTATACATAACCAAAGTAGGCCAATACTTCCTGTCTCATGATACCGTCAGGGGTATAAGTAAAAAACAAAACAAACATAAAAACCCTGAGAGGAGGATCAAAACCTCAGTACAGAAATAATTACAGAAAGAAAAATACAAATACCACATAGCAGCCTGATTCATACATTGGTCATTTAAGTCTCATCAAGTAAGGCCAAAAATGGCTTCCACACTTTCTCGTAATAGTTTGGTACATTCCATCTGCTAAGGCGCATCTGTTCCACCCTTGAAACAAAGACCATTTCGTTGAGCCACCTCTTAAAGCAAGGGGAAGATGAAGACTTCCAGTTAAGTAAAATCTATTTTTTGGCTACTACCATACCTGTTTTGAGAGCCTTCTTCAGTAAAACTATTCTAACCCACAAGAGGGCAGCGTTAGTATCTGAGATATCTTGGCTTCATATTAAGTAGATGTGATCAGCGCCTGGGTTTTTACCTGCAGGAGATTTGAAGCATTGAATTTCGACAAGAAAGTAATTCAGGAACCATTTTTGAACTCAAGCATTCCTACAAAACAAAGTAGAGACAGCCAGAGGAACAAGGAGTACCACACGCAGAGGGCAAAGGTACCTGGCCAGTGTCAAACCACAAAACCTAAATTTTATTTGTATTGCGATAATCTCTCGACACAGATGTTGGATGTGAACAAGCTGGAAGCTTCTGGTTTCAGTTTCTAGTTTGACCAATCAGGTTTGAGCAGCTGTGGTAGAGAGAAAGTGAAGGAACACATTGACCGAACTGCTTTTTTATCTAATTATATGCAGATAGATTAAAAAGTCAGTGTGTACACCAATTTACTCCTTGTTGTAACCACACACTTGACCTTGTAATATCATCTGGTGTCAATATTGAACATCTAACAGTACTTCCACATAATCCAGACCATAATTTAATAACTTTCGATTTGTCATTATCAGACTACATTCCATTAATAAAAAACTATTTTTCTAGATGTCTACCTGATTGTGCTGTAGCTAAATTAATTTATTAAGGAATTAATTCCAGTTATATTTAACCCTGTATTATGCGTCGATATAACCAACTAATTCTGTAAAAAAAAACGCTCCACTGAGATTGACCATCTTGTCGATAGCTCTGTAAACTCACTACGATTAACATTAGACTCCATAGCGCCTCTAAAAAAGAAGCAGTGAGTCGTTAAAGACTCTGTAGTTTGTCCAAAATGCTGCAGCACGTGTCCTGACATGAACCTGGAACAGAGACCACATGTCTTCTGTATTAGCTTCACTACACTGGCTTCCTGTTACATTTAGAATTTAAAATCCTCCTCCTCACCTACATTACTAACACGGCAGCATCAAACCTTTAAGAGCTCAAAGTACCATATCACCACTCGAGCCCTGAGCTCCCAGAATTCAGTCTGTTGTCCCTCAAGTCTAAAAGTAGAGGAGGAGCCAGAGGTTTCAGCATCAAGCTCCTCTCCTGTGGAATCATCTCAGGTTCAGTTCTGGAGGCAGACTCCCGCTCTACGTTTAAGATTCAAACTTCCTTCATGATGAAGGTTTATTTAGAGCTGGTCCAGGTTTGTCTTGGACCTGCTCTTAGTTCTGCTGCTGGACGTCTAGAGGGTGGAGGACACATGGAGCTTCTCTTTCCTCTTCTCCCTCTTCATCACATTAATGTCTCATCAGCATGTTACTGACATGACTTCTTCTCCAGGGTCCTGCTGCTTCATTGTCTTGATAAACAACATGTCTCCTCATCTTCATCAGTAACTCCTCAGTTCATGTGTCTGCTCCTTCATCTCTATCAGACATGTCCTCATGTACAAATACTTTAACATGAGGTCACAAACTGTTTCTTCTAATGTAGTGAATCTGTGGTTGTGTTGATGTCTTCAGTTCATCAGCATCTATTGTCCTCGTGTCCTGGAGACGGATCCTCACATGTGACTCTGAGCTTCAGTTACTGCTCAGAAAGTGTCTCTGCTAGTTTGACACTAGGACGCTGCTGCTTGTTGACATCGATGAGACAAACTGAACATGAGACAAACTGGATATGAGACAAACTGGGAGTGTGAATATGAGACAATACAAATAACATGTGATTTGTTGATTGATATAAAACTGTCTTTACACAGTGAACAGTAAATGAAAGATGAAAGTCTTGGCCCAAATGTTGCTGCAACGGAAGCCCCCAAATATTTTGA